AATAAAAACATTTTCGCAGTGGGTGCAGGAAGTGACCGTTTCACTGAGGGGGGGGGGGGGCACTTCACGTGCGGCTTATAAGTTATTGGGCTCGCACGTTTATACCCCGCAGCGCATTCATTAAACTTCTCCCTCCTCCTCTTTCTAACTGTTTGCACCGCTTTTTTTTTTTTGGCTCATCTGGCTGCTGCTGGTTGTGTATATTTGTTATTTCTCCATTTTTTTTTGTTTTCTCTCTCTCTCTCTCTGTTTCTGGGGGTGGGGGATTTAGGTTGAAGGATAACAAATACACCCCGTCAAGCCGCGATGGCGCATGACGAGACGGCCGAGTTTCCCACCGTGACGCTCTTCCGCTACCCGGCGTGCTTCGCCATTCCGACGGCGGATCCACACGCGCTTGCGGTGGAGTGCATGCTGCGCTTTGTGGGCGCGCACTTTGTGAAGCGTGACGCCCCCTTGCCAGTTGCCCTTGAAATTCCCACCAGCAGTGGCAGTCCGGTGGTGCGAAAAAAGGGTCTTGTATCGTGTTTGCAGCTCATTGAAGACGTGCTGCATGTGGATGAGGAGGTTCTGTCAGTCGAACAGCGACAACTTTTACTTTGCGTACGCGTGTTAGTGGAGAAGTCGCTGCTCCCGGCATTTGTTTACATCACCCATAGCGACCAGAATCTTTTTACTCACTCGATTCGAAAAGGCGTTGAACCAAAGGTGGCCACGCTCTTGCAGCGGCTGCGCGGGAACTACCGCAGCAGCGTTGTAGACGGCAGTGGGTGTTGTGGGCGCTACGCCAGTATGGAGGAGGCTCTTGCGGAGGTGGAAAAGGGACTGCGTGCACTACAGGCCTTCCACGTCAGTCACTCAAAGTCCTCTGGCACCTTTTTTCTGGGAACGGAGCGGCCGTGTAGTGCCGATGCCTTGGCGTACGCGGCGGCTTCATCGTTTCTCCATGCCGACTTTGCCGGCCATCACGCCCCCGCCACCCTTGTGGAGCTGCAGAGGCGTCTGAAGGAGGACTGCCCGGCGCTGGTAACGTTCATTGAAAAGGTGCGGCAAACCTACTTTGAGGACTACAGTGCGTACTACACACTGCGGGCAACTAACGAGCGCGGCGCCGGAGACGCGGCTGCTCGACCACCGTCCGGAGACGAGTTGTTCAAGAAGGGGCGATGGATGTGTGTGGCGTGGACGATAGGCTTTTCGCTGCTCTACTTTACCCTCTCAAACGCCAACTTGATTCTGGAGGCGCTATCGGAGTTGGAGCCCGAGGCGGAGGCGGAAGCGGAGGCGGAGGCGGCGGAACAGAAAAGCGACGAGGCATAGCGGGGGAAGAGGCACCGGGGCAGAGATGATGGGCCATGGCATTGTCTCTCAGCAGCAGCAGAAGCAGAAGCCAAAAGGAATGCCTGACAACGGGGGGAGAGACAAATGCATAAAGAAAAACGAAAATAGATCCTAAAAACGAACATGAACTCGTAAGGAGGAACGTGTGAGTGCACGAAAGCGAATGAAATGGAGGCATTTTGAGAACCCCGCCGGCCGCACGGAGAGGGTGGCGCCTCCGCTAGATGTAGTGCTGCCAGTGACGATGCGGTTGATGCAGATGAAGTAGACGGGAAGCAAACAGGCGGTCACGAGAGGCAGCACTGCATGCGTGTGTCTCTGTGCACACGGGCCTGGGGTTTAAACTGCCACTTCAGTACGTCGTCGCACGACAGTTCACCTCTCCTGCCCGACGAGAAGCTGAAGGGAGCCCTCAGACATGAAGAGAAGAAATTCTATATATACATCAATAGCTTTGTTATTTCGTCTTGTAACATATATGGGCACATGTGTATATTATTTTTCTGCCTATTCCCTCCCCTTTTTTCTTTTGTCGCTACTGATGATGCTACCTAGTAAGTAAATATTTTTTTTTTGAAGACCGCGGGACATAATCAGCTAGGAACCATGCAGGGCAGCTGGGCGATCTTGAAGAAGAACTGCACGAACTTCTTCCCTGGCCTCGCGTTGTTTGCCAAACAGACGCAGGACGCCGCCGACATCTGGTTGCGAATCTACAACCGTCAACAGAAATATGGACCCACTGACTTTGTGGAGCAGAGTGAAACGTACTCTCCCGACTACCACAAGCGTTTTCACTCACAGGACAAGAACATGTGGGTTGATATGGAGCTTAGCAAGGAGGTCTCCCAAGAGGAAATAGCGAAGCTGATGCGGTACAAGTTGGACATGTGGCGCATGGTGCACTGCACTGGCTCCGTACTTGTGATGGGTGGCTACGCCCTCCCGCTGGCGCTTTTTTGGCTTGCCAATGACACATGGGTGCCATCCGCGTTTAACGCCACCCCCGAGGAGCTCAAGGCATGGCGTCACGCTCAGGATTTATACCGCTACCGCAGTATTCCATCATATTTGACGGACACAAAGTGGCACTTTGACTTCCACGCCTATCCGTGGAACGAGACGCAGGAACAGGCCTGGGATGACCTGTTTGAAAAGAATGATGTCTGGCGGGACCCCAAGTTGGTTCGCCACGCAGCTGAGATGTACGACGGATTCATCAAGTTTGAACTTATTCGTCGCAAATCTCTACGCCATCTTTGCCGCAGCATGAACATTCCAACGTTCCCGATGCTCACGCGGCTGTGCAACGGTACGCGCGTACGCGACTACTGGATTCTCGCATGGTGCGAAGACTACATGGTCATCACCCAAAAGCTTCACGAAAAGATGTCCGATGAGGATCTCTACGACTATGCCTGGCGGAGGTTTCTGGCTCCCTACGACAAGAACCTCACGCGCGAGCAGCTGATGGGGCGTGTGGAGGACTACTTTACCTTCCTCGGCCCTGAGTTTGTTGAGAAGGGCAAGGCACCAAATCTCGTGATCCTAACAAACTACGTCATGGGTTACTACAACGACCCGGCCTTCCTGGAGGAGGACATCTCGGAGCTGGACAAGAACGACTACGACCACCTGGCAAGCTGGGGCAAAGACGCTTTTCTGCGCCGGTTGGAGTTTGAAAATGGCCCGCTGCGTGACCAGGTGGAGGCGCACACCCACAAGCTGCTGGCAGAGCGGAAGGCGGCTGAGGAGCACGCTGCAAAATCTGCCGCTCCTGCCAAGACGGGCTAAGTGGCGACAGGGTTCACCACCCTGAGTAAGCGGAGAGAGGAGGGTGAAAGAGAAAAAAGGAAATGAAAATGAAAAGGAAAAAAAAGGTATACATACAGCTATATTATAAGAATAAGGAAAGGAAGCAGAGGAAGAAGCGCGGATGTGTACTATGAGACGGAAAGGGTGTGAGTGAAGAATTAGGAAGGGGGACGGAGTCTACTTTGCAGGCAAAACACTGAAACCAAAACAATAGAAGGGAGTGCACTGGAATAGGTGTGCCTTTTTTGTTGTTGTTAGTTTGCTGCTGTTCTTCTTCTTGCAACTCATGGGTGGGAGGATTCCATGGAGAAGGTGATTGAGGCATTTGGTTGAAAAGGTACAATAGGGAGAAATATATATATATATATATATTTATATAAACTGGCATAGAAAAAAAAAAGAACCAGGAGCTCGCCTTTTTTTTTTTTTTTGGTCTCCCTGTTGTTCGGTTTGTCTTGTTGCTGCAGATGAATTCCGTCGTCGCCGCGACGCTAGTGAGAGGAGAAGTAGGAGAGTGAGTTGCCATCCAGGAAGGACGCAAAGAAGGGGCGAGGGTCTAGAGAGCAGGGGGGGTGCGGTTGCTTTGGAGATTTCCGCGCAACTTTTCTCTTTGGTGAACTGCTTTTTGTCTGCGTGCGCCTGCGGTTGTGTGGGGCGCTTTTTATTATTATTATTATTTATCTTTATCTCTCTTGCTTTCTTCCTTCTGCTGTTTGTGTGTTTCCGGCTGTCTGCCTGCATGCTGTTTTGGTTTTTCCCCCTCCCTTTTTTTTTTCTCACAGTGTGCCTCTCCTGCGTGTGAGGCCCTCTACCATTGCGCGCGCGTTCGACGGCAGTACACTTCTGCTACGAAGGCAACAACGGGAGAAAACAACGGCATCCAACAGCAACGCGACGCGTGGAAGGAATTCTAGGCGGGGATAAGCAAAGGCGTGAGACCTGAGAAATATACACACATCTATACTGCTCTCTCCTTGGCCCCTTTGCGCTTGCCTTGAACAATGGGTGGCTGCTGTTGCGGCTGTCAGCAGGACGACTCAAACTTGCCCGAAAAGTATGAAGAAAATCGTTCCTGCACGGATATTTTTTTTATGATTGTCTTTATCCTGTTCCTGGGCGCCTTCGCAGCGCTTGGCTTCATTGCGTTTAAGAGCGGTGACTTGAGAGGCGTTGTGTTTGGCAACGATTATCTTGGCTACGCCTGCGGCGACGGCGCGGGACCGCCTGGTTTCGCGAACCATGTGCCAGAAGATGCTCTTTTTCAGAGCAAGAAGTGGGCGGAGAACACACGCGTCTGGTACCCGCTGCCTCTCATGCAGGAAGTGACGGATGTACTCCACATAAGCTCCTACCTGAATCTTGGTATCTGTGTCAAGGAGTGCCCCAAAACAAATCCGGAGGGGTTGAAAGAGCTGTTGGCCGACAATATGACTGGTCCCAATCTAAAGAAGATGCAGGTGTATTCGTACGGGGATGTTTCCAAGACTGGACACCCGGTCAGTGCAGCCTCAAAGATGTACGCCGTGTATCATACCTCATCCATCCTGCGTAAGTGTTTGCCAGATCTCACCCAACCGCCGGAGGTGGGGAAAAAACTCTCGTCCCCTTACCTGGAAAAGGCCTACACGTTCATTCTGCAAGGTGTGAATGAGGTTGCAAACAGTTGGCGTGTCATTGCCATCGAGGCAGGCATTTGCCTTGTGGCATGCTTTATCTTTGTAATTTTGATGCGGTTTTGCGTCAGCGTCGTGGTATGGCTCATTCTTTTCTGCATATTTCTCCTATTGGCCGGTGGAGGCGGCATTGCCTTCTTCCTGTTTCACACCAGGGGAGAAAGCTCCTACCTTCCGGTGGCGGGTGTACAGAAATACTCCAACCTCTTTCTCGTGCTTGCTCTCGTACTGTGGTTTCTGGCGATTATCTACATGTTTGTCATTCTTGCGCTCTGCAGCAAAATACGACTTGTGTGCGCCATCATCAAAATTTCGGGTCGTGTCATGGGTTCTGCGCCGACGATGATTTTCCTGCCGTTCGCAGCTACTCTGGCAATCCTCGCTTTCTTTGTGTGGGCCGTGCTCGTGGGATTATGCCTGTACAGTGCCAAAGAAAGTGGAACCGCGTACTCGCTCGTGCCCCTCAGCGAAGCTCTTCGCTTTCAAGACGTTCCACTGGTGAAGGTGAACGAGACGCAATTTTTCAAGGTCGCCTCGCAAGTCCTCAACTCAAGGTACTCGCTGGAATACTTCTTGATTGCCGATCTCTTCGGGTTTCTGTGGACAATGGCTTTTTTGAATGCGGCGTGTTTCACCACCATCGCCTTTGTTTCGGTTTTTTGGTATTTCTCGAGCCTTTGCAATGATGATAAGAGTGTACCCATCTGTGGCGTATGCAAGGCGGTTTTTTGGACGGTGTTTTACCACACCGGAACGTTGGCGCTTGGTTCCCTTTTGATTGCCATCATACAGACAATCCGGTTCCTACTGGCCTACCTTGCCAAGAAGGCCCAGTCGATGCTGCACGACAGTGCCCTGATTTGCTGCCTGGCGTGCTATCTCGAGTGTTTTCTGGCCTACTTTGAGCGTGTGATTTCGCTCATAAACACCAATGCGTTCGTGATGATGTGTCTGACCTCACAGTGTTTTTGCGTCTCGGCCTGCCGCGCCATCGAGTTTATCCTGAGCTACACCGTGGAACTTCTCTTTCTGACCGGGTTTGTAAGCGTGGTCATCTTCCTTGGGGAGCTGTTCGTTGTGGCTGCGTGCTGCGCCTCCGCGTACTTCCTCTGCGACGTGCCCGAGCTTGCGACGGATATTCGGGTGTATGTGATGCCACTTATCGTCATCGGTGTTATGGCGTTCCTTTTGAGTCGCGCCTTTTTTGGCGTCTACGAGTCGGCCGCCACGGCGCTGCTGATGTGCTACTGCTACGACCTGAAGGTGAACGCCTCGCGTGCGATGTACTACGTGCCGGAGGAGCTGGAGCACCAGCTTTTCGACTACTCGCAGAAGGAGAAGCTGCGCCAATTCAACGAGCAGCAGGCCGCCGTGCACCAAGAGAAGTGAGAGCGAGGAGGAATAGCAAGCGGCGCTGCACCGGCGTGGAGGACGGAAGCCGAGACCTCCGACGAGAACAAAAAAAAAAGAGGAAAAATAAAAGGGCAAAAACAAGCAAAAGCTTGGACTTTTCAGCAACGCTGATATAGATATATATATATATATATATTAGTTACAGAGAGAGAGAGAGAGAGAGAAGTGTAATGCATATTTTTTGTGTCAGTGCGCGTTTCACGACAGCCGACGTTGGCCGTGCGCCCACAGAACGAGGAGGAAATGCGCTTTCGCATACCACAGTGTCCGGCACCGTGGTGATGTGGGACTCGATGCTGGAGGGTGCATCCATACCCACTAAAACCCCCTTGTGCCGCTTGCGCGGCTGATCGGAGATGAAAAACTGCGGGCGGAGGCCAACGGCGGAGAGCACGTTGTCTGATGGAGGGTCTCCGTTCGATGCCCTAACTCCATCGTGACATCTGCGCTTTTTGACCTACCCGCATCCCCACTCCCAATACAGGAGCAAGATAATGATGCGAAACGGTTCCCCTTGGACAGGGCACTAGACCTTCCAACACGCAGTGGCACTCAGGAAGGACCAACTCTTAGATTCCCCTCGTAATAACCGAGAGTACTGGACCCTGGCACTGCGGTGAAGTGGTCGGGCACGCCAGGGTGTATTACATATGCACGTACACCTACAGGGTTCTGGAGCTGGAATTAACAGAAGCTTCGATACAAAAATAAAGCGGGGGGTCAGTCGTAAACAGAAAAAAAAAAGACGTGTGGGGGACAGAAGGAAGTAGAAAATGGTTGCGGCGAATGCGTAGAAGCGGGACAAGTTTCCGCGGTTCGTGCGGAATGAATCGGAGACAAGGCCAGGATCGGGTGCTATAACTGTAGTTATAGGCAACCAATTAAAATGAAGTGCGCAAAGGGGGGGGGGTTATGCATCCATCAAGAATGATGTACATGTCCGCGTTTTTGAGACGGCTATTCTTCTGATGTAGCATGCGCCAACGGCCAAGCGTCGGGGAAGCCCCACTACTACGGCAATGGAAATGTAATCGAATAAAATGCCATCTGCGAAGGAATTGGGGTACCAGATAAATAATTTACAAGCCTGTTTTTGAGTTGGAATGGGACATTGACTGCATAGCTAAACCTTACAGGGTCTCAACCGTTAGTTCCACAAATAAAGGGGTGGGCCGCTTTTCCTTTTCCCCCCTCCCCCATCTTCGTTTTTTGGAATTTTTTTGTGATTCCCTACTATTTTTTTTTACTTTCCCCTTTTGTTGTGCGTGTCGTTTATCATTTCTTTTTTTTTTACTTTGTCCAGACCACATGTTCGATTTCCTCCTCGGCGCCGTTAGCCACGACATTTGTATTTTGGCCAGGCCCCCGCCGAAGCAGGCCAACATGACATCTTGTACCGCCAGCCGTCGCTGCGTTTTTCCTTTTTGTCTTCGTTTTTCTTTACTTTTTCCCCGTTGGTTTTGGGCTCCGGAACTTCTGCAGGGGGAGAAAAAAAAAATCGTTTGCCCTGCGCTGCGGCTTTTCACACGCCGGCGCGCTTCCTCCCCGCCGCATCGAAGAGAACAGGCAGGGGAAAAAAAAAAGGGTGTGTGTGGTGGGGGGGAAGCGCAGGAAGCGGCACTTCAGACGTCTGAGCGTGTGGTGGTGGAGGTGGGCGTCGTGTTTTTTTTTGTCTATTCGTCTTTGGCCTCTTTGGCGTCCTCACGGGGGACGCGTGTGTCGCCAGCACTTTTTTGCTTCGCCGCGGTGGGGCGCCTCCCGCCGTTTGCAGCCGCCATGCCCCCGTCGCCTCTGCTCACACTGGTTTCCCGCTCCGCCGTCTCTTGCGGCCGCCGCGTTAGATACGTAAGATAGCACACAAGAAAAAGGAGAGAAGAATAGTTTTTCTTTAAATAAAAAGGGAGAGGAAAAAAAAAGAACTTGTAAACATACGGGACTTAACAAGAAGGAAAACACAAACATCTTTTTTCTTTTTTAAAAATGAGCAGTGGACTTGCCGACTTTGACGGGGATGATGTGAAGGCGCCTATTGTGTCCGCCCAGCCCCAAATGGGCGTGGGCATGGGGACACACAGCGCCGTCGCCCTGGGGGGGTTCCAAGACTTCTGCCTGAAGAGTGAACTCGCCAACGCCATCCGCGAGAACGGCTTTGAGCACCCGAGCGAAGTGCAGCATCAGGCACTGCCGCAGGCGATGCTCGGCGCCGACATCCTCGCGCAGGCCAAGTCTGGTATGGGAAAGACAGCTGTCTTTGTCTTTGCGCTGTTGGAGCAAATTGAGAAGGTTCCAGAAGGGCAGAAGCCGCATTGCCAGGCAATCGTCGTTGTCCACGCCCGCGAGTTGGCATACCAGATCGAGCAGGAGTTTAAGCGGTTTAACAAATACCTGCCGTACTGCACCACAGGCGTCTTCTTTGGCGGCATCCCAGAGGACGAGAATGTGAAGCAACTCAAGAAGGAAGTCCCTGCGATAGTGGTGGGAACACCAGGGCGTCTAAGCGCACTTATTCAGCGCAAAGCCCTTGACGCCTCACGCGTCAAGTGGTTCGTCGTGGACGAGTTTGACCGCTGCTTAGAGGATGTCAAGATGCGCCGCGACGTTCAGACGGTGTTCCTAAAGACACCGAAAGAGAAGCAGGTGATGATGTTTTCCGCCACCATGACTGATGAACTTCGTAATGTTGCGAAGAAGTTTATGAATAACCCGACGGAGATCTACGTGGATCAGCGAGCGAAGCTGACACTGCACGGACTCGCACAGTATTACATGAATGTGACAGAGGCGCAAAAGCTCCGCAAACTCTGCGACATTCTTGATGCTGTGGAATTCAACCAGGCTATTATTTTTACCTCCTCTGTGGAGCGTTGCGAGGCACTTAGCCGCCAGCTGCAGGCCCTTAAATTTCCCGCCATGGCTATTCACTCTCGCATGGAACAGCCTGAGCGACTCCGCGTGTATGAAAGCTGCAAGTCGAACCACACCCGCATTATCGTTGCCACCGATCTTTTTGGCCGCGGCGTCGACATTGACCGTATAAACCTCGTGGTGCAGTTTGACATGGCCTCGGATGCGGATTCGTGTCTTCATCGCGTGGGTCGTGCAGGTCGTTTCGGCACAAAGGGTCTGACGATTGCCTTCCTCACTGACGAAGAGAAGGAGATAAAGCGCGAGAACCGCAAGTACACCGACCATGGCGTTATGAGGGACCTTCAGGAGAGGTTTGAGATGCAGGTGCAGGAGCTAACAGACATCAGCACGCAACTTAACCAGAGCCAGTACATGAATCAGTAAGGCGAAAACCTGTGGGCGACATGAATGCAGAAAAAGTCGAAGGAGTACAAGGAATTAATTTTTTTTTTAAAGAGGAGAAGCGCGACGAAGAGGCGTAATAAGAGATCGTGTGTGAGCAGGATACATACGGTGAGGAGATAGCAAAAAGAAAAAAAAATATGTCTGTGGGTAATGAGATGGCAGTGAGAGCTAAACCGGGTCCTGACCGTCCTGTCTGGTTAATTGGATAGAGTCACAATGAGGAAGAAGCATGGCAACGCCTGCCGCCTTTTTTAAAAATTATTCTTCTCCCTGCTTCTTTCCGTCGCTTTTTTTATTCTTAACCCGATTTTGTTTGGTGTACTGTGGCGGGAAAAGCGGAATTCTCACTCCCGCCCTCTCACTGCCTCTCTGTCTCTGTGTTCACCTTGTGGCACGCCGCCCGTTCCCGCTTCCCCTCCCGCCCATCGGCGTCTTGATCGACGCCCGAGGCAGCGGCGAGTCTGCGGTGGGGCGTGGTGCCTGCGGCGCGTAGAACCGGCGCTGCGTGCGCGAGGCAGGGGAGGGTGGGGACATCTCGTAGTCATCTCCGTCTCCTTTTCAGCCCCTTCTTTGCCAGTCTCTCTTTTTGTTTTGTTGTGCATTTTTTCTTCCTTCTACGCGCCCCTCGTCCTTCACTCTTCTGTCTTTTCTTTTTCTTCGTTTTTTTCCTCGTTGAAGTGGAGGGCCTTGGGGAGGGGAAGTCGCTTGTTTGGGCGCAGCGAGAAGGAAGGCGGTGAGCTCAAGGCACGCGCACCCGACACCAACAGCGCACGGCGTGGGGGAGGAGGAATGCGTCAAATGCGGGAGGAACGGCGGAGGGAGGCGGGAGGCACGCTGGGCGCTGCCCACGCAACGCACGACTGCGGCGGTTACTATTTACAGTGATTGATTGAAACTATTCCTACTTCATGATCACTATTATATTTTTCTTTCCTTGTTTCTCTGTAGTCGGGCGAAAATGAATGCGTCCCAGATGCGCAAGCAGAGGGGCAACAGAGAAGGAAAAGCAACACGGAGCCGACAAACGGGGCGAGGCGGGGCGTCGGGCCGCTAGTGGAAAGGCGAGGATGATCGCCAGCTCCCTTCACCCCCCAATGCAAATTTCCCGAAAGGAGGCCTCTGCGTCAACTTCCTCAGTTGTTCCTATTTTCTTGTTGTTTCCGTTTTTGCTTCATGCAGCTCCCGCATCTTCTTCGCTTCCCGCACGCACTACAAATAAAATGCGCCTGCAGGTTGTGCTTTGCTCGCCTTCTCAGCTCCACAGAGGAAAAAAGAAAATACACCCACACAAATGTGTAAGGCTCCGTGCGTGGGGATTTTTTCCCCACCTCTTTGTTCCTCGTCCCCTCTCGTTATCTCTGTAGCAACCCCGTGATCTTGTTCTGGTCTCTCTCTCTCTCTGTATTTCCCGCTCGCTTTTTATCGTTTTATCTTTGGGTTCCTTTTACGTCTCTGTCTCTCGTCATTTTTTTTCTTTTACCCAACGCAGACCGCCTATTTTTGTTGCTGTTGTTCGGTTACGGGGCTTTCCCGCTTCGAGGAGACGCACACACGTGGGTGCGGCAGAGAAGTCGTGCCACTAGAGAGGCGGGGGCGAGAAGAGACAAGTGCAGCTGCTACTTTTAAGTGCAAAGGCGCGCACTACTTGAGCGCAGAGACTCCGAAGAAGACACAAGGCGGAGGAGGCGAAGGCTGCGGAGGTGCCATTGAGTCGGGCAGAGAGCGAGGGTGAGAGCGAACTTCAAACATTTTCGCATTTCAAGTGGGGCGGCTGAGGGAGAAGCACTCGCCCGATGAATATCTACAGCAGGGATCAACAGATTTACAACATACAGCGTACCCGTGGCGAGCGCTGGCTGCTGCATCTGTACACTCTCAGCACAGGTGTGCAGGTTGTGTGCTTTCTCTTCGCCATTATCCGCACCGCCAATGCCGCCTCGGATTCCTTTGAAAATAACTTTTTCGTCACTTCTCCACTCGATTTAGGACCGCTTAGACTTTGGGATAACTGTTCCCTTTCGGTGAGCTCCTCATATACTATGTTCACCAACGTCAGCTACTCTCTGTCGACGAGAAACGTGGGTTATTTTGTCAGTCGCAGTGTAACAAATATACGTATGCTGTTTACGTGCGCTGCGCTGAACATCGTGGTCTGCGCGATCAATCGTCTGTGGGTCTGGTTGGAGATACGCGAGCTGCGATATCATTTTGTGGTGATTCGGCATGACGTATTCGTTGTCTGGGAGCTTTTTCTCACCATCGTTGGCATTGTCTTGCTGCAGCCTGTAGCGAATGAAAGTGAAGTATTGTCAAAGTACTTTTCATATTGCGCACAAAAGCGGCCGTACGGATTGGGGAACGTCTCTCGTTACGTAGAGCTGTATGTGTCGTTTTTCACGGCGCTAGCCGTTTTTTCACTGGCCGCCTTGGCGGCAGTTGTTGTACGATGCAAGAAAGTGCCCGGCGATGAGGAAATGGAAGCGTCGGCAGTTCAGCCTCACTTACCCCCACAACGATTGCTGTCTGTTTACTCAGCAGGAGAAGCAGGGCGGCGGTGGCAGCCGCCGCAGCAGCAACTGTACAATCCCCCTCCGCACGTTGGGAGGAATGCAGGGGGGCAGGGCGACTTCCGCCCAAGTAATGACGTGGCATTCCACACAGCCGCCGCGCCGGTGGCGCCTCTGGTGCCTCCGGAGGACTTCGAACGCCGCCACTCCGCTCCCAGCTTTGGTCCTAGCATCAGTCGGCCGATGACACCCAACACATTGGGCCCGGACCCCGGCACTTTGCACCACAGAGGCGACGCCGCCGTGTCGGCTAGGGATGGCTCCTCCACGGGCGCTGGGGCGCAACCGTTGACCCGTTTTCAACCACCGCCACCGCCACCGCCACCGTCGCTGGGGAGGCAAAGGGACACGCAGGGCGACGCCGCCACGGAGGCGACTGTGGAGCTAGAGAACCAGCGGTGAGTTAGAGCGGTGAGAGAGGTGTTCCCCTCACTTTTGTTGTATGTGTGCCTTTCTCAGGGTCGTGCTGGGGGAGGGGGAGGGGGAAGTTGAATTTAGCTTGTGTGTGTGTGTATGTGTGTGTGTGCTTTTTTTTTGTGTGTGGGCATATTTTTTCTACGTCCAGCTTTTTATTCCCCCATCCTTGGCGCAGCTGTCGTTGCTGTTTTGTTGCTTGTGCCGACGCCCGTGTGTGGTGCTCTGCCGAGTGAATGGAAGCAAAGCCTCCGTGTAACGTTGAACCTTTGCCGTCCTACCCACAGTTGCACCCACACAACACAAAAAGAAAAGTTACTAGCAGGGACGACTGCAGCCACAACGCAAGGTGGCGGCGGTGAAGTGACTTATCGCCGTCTCTTTTTTTTTTTACTTCGTCCTCCCCCTACTCTCTCTTTATCGCCTTTCTTTTTTTTGTGTTGTTTTCCTGCCTCTTGATACGAGGCTAGACATGAGCTGCTCGCCTTCTTGCCTGCCTCCTGGCGCGGGGGTGCTCAGCCGTGCAAACTATGCGTGTGTGGGCCGCACCGAGGTGAACAGGGGGGAGGCGCAATAGGCCTAGACGCTTCTTTTTTTTTTTTTCTTTCGCCCTCATCTTTATCTTTCTCGCCGAAATGTAGGTGCGTTGGTATAGGCAGTCTGTTCTTCTTCTTGCTGTTGTTGTTGCTACTACTACTTGTTTCTTCTTCCCCCCCCCCTTCCTATTCGCCAATGCCTTTGTGTGCGCTGGCCATTTTTCCCGTTTTTCCGCTTCGTGTGCGCAGTAGAACGAGAAGCAAATGGCAGCCCCGCAGCAGTACGCCCGCGTGCACTCCGTCGACCTGACGCTGCAGCATGAGAAGTCCTACCAGCGTCAGACGGCGGTGAATGAGAACATCCACAACCCGAACAGGAAGCACGTGAACATGAGCGGCCACATCCGCTACTCCAAGAAGATCGGTCTCGGCTTCAAGACCCCCAAGGCGGCCGTCAACGGCAAGTACATCGACCGCAAGTGCCCCTTCACCAGCAACGTGTCCATCCGTGGCCGCATTCTTCGCGGCGTGGTGCACTCCACCAAGATGAAGCGCTCCATCGTCATTCGCCGCGACTACCTGCACTTCATCCGCAAGTACCAGCGTTACCAGAAGCGCCACCGCAGCCTGACGGTGCACTGCAGCCCCTGCTTCGACCCCAAGCCTGGAGATGAGGTGGTGGTCGGCCAGTGCCGCCCGCTGAGC